CTGTCGAGGCGCGACCGAGTCGAGGAGCCGAGGATCAGGACCCCCCTCCCCGCGCACTCGGCGCCCCACCCCCCCGCTCCGGCCGGCCGGCGGGGCCGCTGCTGCCGAGGCCCGAGCTGCTGGCTTCTCCGAGTCCGCGGCTGCTTGTTCCGGGCCCCTGGATCAGACGAGCCCCCCGCTCCCCCGTCTCCTCAAAATGGATGAATCAAACCAGCCGAAAATGCGCCAAAGCCGTGGTGTAACCAAACGCGCTAGGGTCTGGGCGCTCCGCCCCAGCACGCCCGCTCATTGGCGAGTGCTGCCAGACGCGCCCTAGTCATTCGTCCGTTTGAATCATCACGCCTCCAAGGCCCCACCCCTCTTCCCGATAGGCCCCGCCTCCTCCATGGGGTCCTGTTAGTCAAGATGCGCTGAGAGTGCAGGCCCGCAAAACAAAAATGGTCGCCGATTGCCCGCCCCCTGGCTTCCACGCCAGAGCTGCAGATTCGGCTTGGGTTCTAGCTTGAGCCTCCTAAAGAACCTGATTTATATAATGTTTAGTGTGGATCAGATGTTCGTGACATAGATTTAATTTCTCCTGGCGTGATTTTTTGCAAATCAGCTAATTGCAAGACTCTTAAGATAGGCAGCAGATTCGTCACTAAGGGACTACTTCAAAATTGGAGGGAAATTTCTTAGGTTCAAAAATTTGACCTTAATCTTAGGAATCCCGTGCTCTGGCTTCAGCGTTAACCTTCCCGGGCTCAGCCACGCTGCTGGAGTTGAGAGTTATGCTCACAATCAAGGAATAGCTTCGATTCCATTCTTCATTCTCCAGTCTGATCTTTGTGAACTACTTCATACTCGTTAAAATCCCATTTTCCGATATTACCATTTCAAAGAGAAAGAGGTGGATAGTTAAGAGTGGGAGTGGTAGCGAAATACTTGCTTCTGAATTCTAGGTCCCCCACTTAGCAATTGAATAGGTTTCCCTCTCTACCCCACAATTTCACGACCAGCAGAAAAGGGAATAACATTACCTTATTATTAGAATAAACAAGGTCCTGTGTTGAATGGCCTTTAGTTTGGGTTTAAGGTTCAGTTTTTAGTAGAAGAAGTAGTTGGGGCTGCTTCAAGACATTTGAATTATAACTAAGGGCAACTCAGATTATCTAGTTAAAATATACAGGCGTTTGCTGAATGCCTAAATCTCTCAGGAGGGTGCAATATCCCTGTAGCAATAGCTGAGATTTATGTTATAGTTTGGATCATCTGTTCCCCAGTGGACCATATGGCAAAGTGGCCAGTCTGTGGTAGAGTGTTTAGGAGGCAGAACATTGGGTGGAAGTTAGGATATCAGGGTTGCTCTTAAAGCTGTGGGGACCATGGCTTGACCACCACTGTCTCTCTCTTTCCCTGTGGCCACAATATGATCAGTTTTACTTTGCTGACATGTCTTGCACCATGATGTCCTACCTCTTAGCAGGTCCAAAGCCACAAGGCCAAGCAGCCCTCGATGGAAACACATGAAACCATAGCAAAATAAATCTGCTCTTAAAAAAATTGGTCTTTTGAGTCACAGTGAAAGAAAACTGACACTTTACCATCACATGTAGGCTGCAGTCCTTGCCACAGGCAATGCTAATAACAAACTGGAAGGTATGGGTGTTGCTCAGTTGATAAGGCTTGCCCAGGCACAGAAAGTCCTGAGTTCAGTTTTCAGCACTACCTAAAACGGGACGTGCATGCGCCACCACCACCCAGCCACATTTCTGTGGCATTAAGGACATTCATAGTGTGCAACCATCACCAAAATCCATCTTCAGAATTTCTTTTTTTTATTACATCCCCCCAGTGTGTGTGTGTGTGTGTGTGTGTGTGTGTGTGTGTGTGTGTGTGCCACATCATGAATGTAGAATCAGAGGAAAATTCTCAGGAATCAGGGTCTCTCCTCCCACTATGTGGATCCTAGGAATCAAAACAAATGCTTTTACCTGTTGAGGTGGGAGGATCACCTGAGCCAGGAGTTCAAAACTAACCTGAGGAACAGAGTGAAACACCCACCTCAACTCAAGAGGGAGGGCAGTGAGACGGCTTAGGAAGTAGATTCTCACTGCCAAGCCTGCTAACCATCTCCAGGACCTACATGGTAGAAGATGTCTTCTGGTTTCCTGCTACAGACTAACTTTTTAAATAAAGACAGTAGGGGGCCTGGAGACATGGCACAAATTGCCCTCCCCAAAGGCCCGAATTAGGGTCCTAGCACCCACCACCTGCAACTCCCAGGAATCTGATGCCCTCTTCTGGTTTCCATGAGAGCGTGTGTGTGCACGCACCCCCCCCCCAAATAAAATTTAAAGACGGTGAGAGATAGGGTTGGAACTCGGTGGTACTACATGTGCTTAATATACAGCCCTGAGTTTATCTCCAGCAATTTGCACCTGTACATAGGTGTGTGCATTCACATGTGTGTGCGTGTGCACACACACACACACCAAAACAACTAAAGCTGGGCAGTGCTGAGATGGCAGGACTGATGAATCTTCCATGATCCAAAGAGAACCCAAGTACCGTGCTGTAATACTTAGGACCTTTTTCCTCTTCCTTCTTTTTCTCCTCCTCATTCTTCTTTTCTAACTTAGCAAAGAATTTTATTAACCTTTTCTCAAACCTGCTTCCCAGGCTTCTTCAGCTTAACTTACTACAAAGAATGAACTGTGTATAAACAAGAACTGAAAAGAGCTGCAACGTCCAAGGGGGCTTAGACTTAAAAATATTAGAGATATTTCTGAAAGCAGTCACGGCATGGACTAGCAGCCCCAGTAACTTCTCCCGGCTTCATCTTTCTCACAGTTGCCTCGGTTCCGTTTGCCCCATTCTTAGAAGCCTCATCTAAATTCTCCACATGACCTGCAACTTCCTTGTCCTCTCCAGTGGCAACTGATGCTGTGCCATACCCCAGTTGTTTGGGCAGAGCTTCTGCCATTCTCCTTGAGCCAGTCAGGCTGTCTGCACAGAGCAGATGTAGGACATTGGGAAGCGTCTCTGCCGAATGGTGGAAGTGTTTTCGGCCTGAACTTTAGGGTGTTAAAATGGATCACTGTTCCTCTTCAACTTCAGAGATACTGTTTACACCTAACTTCTTTAAAGAGAACTGAGTTCTTCGTCATCTGCTGTGTCTGTACGACATGAACCACTGTCTTTCTATGAACAGTTCCTTTATCACCAATATGCACTTGTGCCCATGCTCTGGCGAGCTTTTCCTGGGCCATGATAGCTTCTTTCATTTGGTTGGAGCAGAAAAGGGGCCATGTGGGTGACTGGGGTTTGTGCTCAGGGGGTCTCTGGCAGACCAGCTGAGATTAGGGGCACACATGTGGGGGTGCGAGAAGGTGGCTGGAGGGGACGCAGGGAATCCTTGGAACTTTAAAAAAACGCCTTACAGGCCGGGCAGTGGTGGTGCACGCCTTTAATCCCAGCACTCGGGAGGCAGAGGCAGGCGGGTCTAGGTGAGTTCGAGGCCAGCCTGGTCTACAAGAGCTGTTGTATGTCTCGTTCTGTTCCTCTAGCTCTAGTTCTGGTTCTTTTTCTTCTTTTCTACAGTGGAGACCGGGTCTGTTACTTAGCCCAGATGGGGCTAAAACTCCTGATCCTCCTTTTTACCCCTCCCAAGAGTTGGGATCCCAGGCATGTGCCACCACATCTGGTTGTTCTTAAATTTTTCTGTTTCCAAGAACTGGGTCTTGTTGCACACATCTGTGATCCCAGCCCTGGGAAGTGGAGGCAGAAAGAGGAGAAGTTCAAGGATACACATGTAGTTTGGATCTAGCCTGGGCTAGAGACTCTGTATCATTAAAACATCCAAATAACTTTGTATTTTATTGTGTTTTACGCATATGGGCATTTTGGCTGCATATATGTGTACCATATGTGTGCCTGGTACCTGGGGAGGCCAGAATAGGATACTGGACCCCCAG